AAAAAAAGACGTTTAAGTGCGCCTTATAGTCGTGAAAATACGGTATATATAATTTTCAATTAATTGTTTTTATGAAAAGGCATCATCCTTTTGTAGAAAGGTGATTTTGTTTATTATTTTTTTTTCTTGGCAATGGCCAGTGACTGGGAGATTAAACTCGGATATGTTATAATTTCCAATCAAGCAAAGAAAGTCATCCATACTCCTCAGCCACAATGCCACAAATTGAGTGTAAACATTTTTCCTCCAAGCATACCTCGATCAAGGTAACATTGGGTAGACAAGAATAGGTTTTGGAGGCTTTTCTCTACGGAATATAACCAGTTTAAGGAGAATAAGAAAATGAGTGTTGCTAAAATCTCTTAAATCATAACATTAAGAATCTTAAACCAGCTCTGTTTCCTTTTATCTACAGGTTACTTTTTTTTGTCTTTTTTTTTTTTTGGTTAAAGTTGAGTTGTTTTCTCAAAAAATTAAGAGTATATTTATACGCTCATGTTAACGAAGGTTTAAAGAACTGTGAAACAGACACCTGAACAGAAAAGGCCTCTGCAACATTTTTGCTGCAAAGGTAGATGCATATAACTTAACAATAATTTACACGCTTTACTTTTGTGTTATTTGAAGTACAATGCAGTGCATTTATACTTTCGTGGTAATTCTTTTCATCATTTGAATGAATTTTGATGCTTCTAACTGATATAGTAGTTTGTGTCTAAGATGCCAGAAATAATGAAGCATGGTGGGGATATTTGGGTAATGGGAGAAGTGGCAAAAAAATGTGTTGCAACTGATTTCATCATTATATATTATAGTTGTTCTGTAGAAGAGAACTTTGATTTCATTTGGCTCCTGCCTCAGGTCTGGGTTGGCCTTTAATGGTTCGTACATGTCTAAATTGAAACGGGTTTTAGTTCTGCATCAACATCTGTATCTGCTGATTTTTGTTTTATCATATTTAAGGCAACAGCTGGCTTACCTGGTTGTTTAGCTGCATTTGTTTAAAAAAAAAATCATTGCAATGGTGTCTTCGCAGGTCTGCCTTAAAGGTGGATCAGACAGCTGCAGCTAAATCAGATTGCTTCTGCCTGCATCCTCACTAAAACTAGGAAATTAGAGCACATCCGCTATCGTTCAAAAGTCCTCCCACCAAGAATAGACTTTAAAATAGTTCTGTTAACCTATAAATCACTCATTAGCTTGGCCACCAAACGCATCACTGACTTGTTCAGTGTTGTGCATGATCGTGTTCAATGAACGGAGTGGATATTTTTAGTGAATGTTGAACTGAATGGATCAGTTTTGAATTAATGAATGGAAATGGGAGCGACGTTCACTCTTAGAGTAATCAGAAACACACACAGCTCAACACTTTTCAATGGATAACATCAGGTCTTTATGTCACTTATTACAGCAAATGAGAACAGACCAGCATGTCTACTGCTAGTACTAGTCAGCGTGATTCAGACTCATCTACTGGTATTGCTGATGCAGCTTTTGTATAACGTTTGGGAGAGTTTAGTGAACTAACAAAGTAAGACTCGGATAGAAAAAACACTTTGTGCAAACTGCTCACCGGGACTTAACAAACTAGTCCGTACGTCAGCTACGTCTACTTCAAATTTAAAGCAACACATTGAGTTAAAGCATCCAAGCTATCAAAATAAATGAGGAATTGAAGCTATTTCATATTCATCTTTGTGAAAAGAACTTTGAGCTTGTTCTTTTTAATTATGAACTGGAACAACATTGGAAGTGTAGTCATAGACCGTCCAGACCTCTCAGGTCTTTTGGCTCAAGTCTGCTCTGCATAACCAGAGACGGAACCAAACAATAGAGAAACAACTTTCAGTTCTTAGGCTCCACTTATCTGAAATAACCTGCCAGCTGACTGAAAATACAGAAACTCTAAGATGCTTTAAATCACTCTTAAAACCTAAATATGTTTTTCCAACTGAGGGTAAAAAAATAATTTATTTTTATTTGTTCTTTTGTTTAACTCTCTCTCTTGAATCCTCTTTTCTCAAATCAGCTGTGGGGATGTTCTGTAGAGAAAAAGAAAAAACAGAATTAGTTTCCATGTCAAAAAAAAGGAAAGACCAAAAAACCCAAAGTATTAACAGAAAGTTGGATCTGGTGAGCCGACCAAAGATAACAAAACGGTACAGCAGGGCAGAGGAAGCTCTTACTAGTACCGGACTATAGCAAAAATAAACTGGTAAAAGAAATAAAGAACAGGAAAACGGGTCCCACCGGGCCAAAATCGCAACGAAAACAGCATCCAAACAAAGACTAACAAAAGCACTGCATGGCAGGTCGGAGCCGTCAGCTGTGGTCTACAGACCCTGGAGACAGGTGCGCCTCCTCCGTGGTGGAGATGAACGAGCGAGCATAAGGGCGGGACGCTCCCAAATCAAAACCCAGCCTATTGATAGGTGGTCCAACGGCCACTAATTAACGAGGCCAAATTATTTACAAAAAAATTATATAAACTCCAACATATACTAAACAAAAAAAAACAACTATTCAACTAAAGTCAATATTAAACCATCTAGAAAGAAGAATTAATAAAATAATTGTGTCCAAAGCACATAACAAATGTCACTGCAGTGTAATTTTCCATTTTGTTTTCTTTTGTTTCCTTCATCTAAAACACTATAAGTTGTCTATTTCCTGAAATGTGCTGTTCAGATAAACTTTCCTTCCCTTTGTCTTCACACCAAGGTCAGCTCGTGCATATATACTTCTGTTTCATGTTTTCAACATTTGGGCTATATACCTCACATGAACTCAAATGTCCTTTTGTACAGATCTGTACTGTTTGCTAAAGTATTTTTATGAGTTTCCTTTTTTCTTTTCCTTTTTTGTATTCCAGGCACAGGAGAGCCATTCAGAGGAGTCGAGGGTCAAAGGTGAGAAGAGCAGAGGGCACCATGGAGAGTGAACCCGGGGCCCCTGCCTCTACGGCTGGTGGTACTGGGACTGTTTCCACTACCAGCAGCTCCTCAACCACCACCCCCACCCCAACCAGCAGCTCCTCTGGTGCCACGGCTGTTAGCACTACTTCTAACACTACAACCACTGCCTCTACCACATCAGGCAGCAGCAACACCAGTGTTAGTAACAGCAGTAGTAGCGCTACAAGCAGTGCTACCAGTAGCAGCGGTTCAGCAGGAAGACAGGCGGTGTCACAGATATCCATCTATAGTGGCATACCTGACCGACAGACTGTACAGGTGAGTTTCATGGAGTTGGAAAAGAAGCACGAATTGTGAGCAAACTTTAAAACTCTGCTGCCATCTGTTGGTCTCTTTTTTATTATATCCAAGCTTTCATTATAATCCTCCTTCAAATTGGAAATAAATGACAGGGGTATGAATGGAACAGCCTAGCTGATTGGAGCAGGCTTTAGGCGCCTTGGTGCTCTTGACCTTTTTCATAGAGGGTAAACCCCTACAAAGGCTCTGGCTCTGCTTCAATGAGGGCGTCTCAACTTTCAGTGCTCTTTCTTTGCCAGCAGGTTTATTGTTACAGACAACCCTCATTTTCCTGCACTGACAGCTAAACACCAAACATCAGTCACTCGTCTTTGGAGTGTAAAAGATCGCCGGTCATTAACACTTGGCAAGAGCCGAACTCATTCATGTTTTTCACCTCTGCTAATTTCACTCTTACGCCTGGAAGTGTTTGTCCGGATGTTTCCCCGACACAAAGAGCCCCAGGTCAAGATCCTGCCTTGTTACCAGGCAACAGGGCAGAGGTGAAGGGTGAGGAGAGCTGTTAGCACTTTAAAAGATTTAGGCTGTATTTAGACTAAATATGTTGAAATATGTAAAATATTCAATTCATTAAAACTTTAAGTTATTTTTGGAAACGGTGCCAACCTTTGTTGTAGCATCAGAAAAAAAAATATTTAAGAATGTTTTACTTTCTTTTTTGTCTTCATCACGTTGGACCAAAGCGATGTGGAGAAATATTTATCTTCCCATTTTGCAAATGCAAAAAAGCTTAGTTTGCAACTTTGTGTTTATTAATTATTTTTTCTATTGAATACATTTTAGATTTGATGCATTTGGAAGTACTGTAAAACATCCAACTATTGATAACCTATATCATTATTTCTGGAATCTTAGACACAAACTACTATACCAGTTAGGAGCATCAAAATTCATTCAAATGACAAACAGAATTACCACGAGAGTATAAATGCAAAATAAATACAAAACTAAATAAATAAATACAAATAAATACAAAACTAAAGTGTGTAAGTTATTCTTAAGTTATATGCATCTACCTTTGCAGCACAGAAGCCTTCTCTGTTCAGGTGTCTGTTTCACAGTTCTTTAAACCTTCAATAACATGAGCGTATAAATATGCTCCTCACTTTTTGAGAAAACAACTAAACTTTAACCAATGATAGTTTTGCTATTATTTTCACTAACAAAAGTTATATTTAACCAAAAAAATATATAAAACACCCCAAAAGGAAATAAAAATAGTATGCCAGAAGGACACTGTCAATATATATATATATATATAAAACACCCCAAAAGGAAATAAAAATAGTATGCCAGAAGGACACTGTCATTTTTCACACCAACATGAGTTTAACCAGAGATGTGCTGCTGGAGTATACATTTGAGAAGTCATGTAATGTGTGGTAGTACTAGAGCTATCGCAACCATAAGATGAAAGGATGAGTGAGGTTTGCTGCCAAGTGTGATGCAGTGAGAAAAAGCAGTGACACCAACCAAAGACGGCAGCAGCTCAAAGCCCTGTGGGTAATTCTGTGGTTTTTATGCAGGTGATCTTGGTGATCACCTATGTTTAGCCTTATTGTTATGTGTATTCTGAAAGGGACTTTGCATGCTTCTCTCTTTTTTTTTTTTTTTAGATTAACCTTTACAACGTGACTTAAATATATATTTTATACTTTAACTTTCTGCATATACTATTCATTGATACTAGGCAAGGCTGTTGTATAGCAGTGGTAAGGCAGTGTACCTTTAAAAACTTTCTTTTCAGTGGTATAATGGGAATGCAAATAATTTAAAAGGAAAAAGTGGACAATTCAAATAAGATAATTCTATAGAAAAGAAAAAAATGATTGATTAAAAAAAAGTAAAGTTGGTTTGAAAACTAAATGATGTGTAAATAGCGCATTTAAAGGTACCATCCTTATGTTTTTGATCTTGGTTTATAACAACTGAGGGTTTCCGCACCTCTAAAAGTTTCTGGGACCTTTTTCCAGGTTAGTGGAGCATAAGAGCTAAACGCTGCTTTTCCTGTCTGGTTCTGATTATGCAGGGTTGATTAGAGCCAGAAAGCCTGTGACGTCTGGGCGGTTGATACATGAAAACAGTTCCGTTAGTCTATAAATCACTGAGGGGCTTAGCACCAAAATACATGACAAGTGTATTATCTGAGAGACAGGGAGCTGGTGTAATTACTTTAGAACGGGGGGGGGGAATCTATTTTCTTAGTACTAGTGAGGATGCAGGCAGCAGCACTCTGGATCAGCTGCAGCTGGGAATAACTTTTTAGGCACACCTGTGAGGAGACAGTTGTAGTAATCAATTACACTAAAGCTGAAGGCAGGAATTTTTTTTCTAAGATCTTGTTGTAACATCAGAGCTTTAATCCTGATGCTTTGCATTAAATCTGTCACTTTGCTCTCAACCGGATACTCACTAATTACATTTTTCTTCAAGATATTTACTCCTTTTTCTGTAGTTGGCTATGGCCCGTAGTTTTTTTGTAGGGGAGTCCTGGTGCAACTTTTTCATTTGTGATTCAATACCGACGGTAATGTTTGTTCATTACTCAGATGTTTTTGTGTCTGACCTTATTTTCAGGTTTTTCAGCAGGCGTTACACAGACAGCCCAACACAGCAGCACAGTACCTGCAGCAGATGTACGCTGCCCAGCAGCAGCATCTGATGCTGCAAACTGCAGCCCTCCAGCAGCACAGCCTGAGCACCGCCCAGCTGCAGAGCTTAGCGGCCGTACAGCAGGTCAGCAAACCAGCCTCTCCGGTACAAATCTTATTTCTTTAACTTTTTTGTTTGGTAGCAATCACAAAGTTCTGCTTCTTTTATGGGTTATTAGAGCAATACAAAGTAGTAAACCTTTTTTCCTTCAATGAAAATACATTTTAAGATGTTAAACTTTACAATTAACATTTGGGGTGAGAATATATCTATAGTAGCATTGGTATTGGATGATACTAGTCATCTATTATTCCCATAAACAAACTGGGCTGATGTTTAAAATGTATTTCCATCCTGCTGCTGTTTGCCTAACAGCTTTGGGAGGTTTGGGAGGTAGTTGGCCATTGGTGTTGATATTGATAGTATGAGAATTCAACTGAAGCAGAGAAGCAATGTCTGAGGTGGGCTGATTTCTCACCTGTTTGAAAAGGTAGAGTTCTGTTTATATTGTTGGCAAATATCCAGTAAGAAAACAGCCTGATTAATACAGGATATTGATGTTTGTCCAGATGTTCATATCAGTGCTTCCCATATGTCCCATTTCCAGCGGCTCCACTTGGCTTGGTTCTACTCCACTAGGTGTAAGTTAGTAGCTTGGCTAATTTATCATAGATCACAGGTTTTCAGGCTTAGGTGTCTTTATCTTTTTAAAGATATCAGTCAAGAAAATATAAAGGAGGCAAAAAACAAAACTGTGAAAGAGGCAAAAACCCTTAGAGTGAAATATGAGGAGGTAGAGGGAGGATTACCTGGTTATCGGTTCATTTTTTTTAAGCTTATATTTCCAAATGGTTTCCAAATAGGTTTTGGAGAAGTTTAATGCAGGTTTAAGGTGGAAAACAGCTTTTATAGCTTTGAACATCTGTAAGAGTACCATTAGGTCTATTGTCAGAATATGAACACAGCATGGCACAAAACAAGCTGGAAACTATGGACTCAGCCAGGGTCCAGAGTAGAAGGATTCAGTCCTCCAGGATTACCCTGTCATTTAGACTAGAAAACCAAAAGCTGCCATCTAGTGGCAAAGTGTGATAAACTGCACCATGTTTAATGTTTCTATCTGTGCACACAGATCACAATTAAAACGTCCAGTAGAGATGTGATGGCAGACATGGACAAATCATTGTGTACACAGAACCTCAGTCAACAGGACCAACGTTGGCCGCTCCATCAATCTGAGATGCGTTTTGATGAGCTCTTTCAGTTTGGTTAAATCCAAAAGTGGTTTTAGTTTTTTATTTTTTCGTTCAGTTAGTGTTGTTCCTGCAGGATAGTTGGAAATGGCCGTAAAAAGTCGTCTTTGTGACTGCCAGAAGTATTGTGGGAGATATGGCAAACTTTTTCATTTTTGGGCTAAATGCTGTATTCGTTAATAATAGAACACAGCTCTTCAGCTTGATCACACCATCCCCAGCATGAAACATTGGAATGGCAGTTTCATGCTCTAATGCATTTCTTCAACACAGATGAAGCCATTTATATATCAATCGTGGAAGACTGTTAAAGGATGCATAATACTTGCGTTGAGGCCGACTATCAGCATGCAAGCCAAAACATGGAGCTAGGATTACAATAGACCTGTTTTGGTCAGAGCATAGTGCTGAAATGGCCCAGTCATAGTCCAGACCACTAGTTTTTAACCCCGGTCCTCAAGACCTATTGTTCATGTTCTTGTCCTGCTGTGACACACCCAAAATCAAATGATACCTCCTTAAAAAAACCCCAAATGCTTCAAAGGCCACTTAGTGTTGTTTTTATTTAATCCAGGTGTGTAGAGTCGGGGAATCTCCTAATATATGCAGAACAATGGGTCCTGATGACCAGGTTTGACACCCACTAATCTAGACTAAAATTTAAGAGTTCACAGCTCATCTCCTGCTAACTGCTGAAACTTTTGGCTTTATTTTATTTTTTCCCCAAAAATACTTGTTGAGTATAGTCTACAGATGTGAAGCCAAATGGTTGCAGTTATGGTTGCAGTGGAGTCAGACGGTTGGATGCTAGATTTCTTTAGATTTGCATTTGTGAAATAATTTCAAAGCATGTATATATATTTTTACTTCCATTTCAGTATGAAGCCCCATTCATGTCTTGTTCTAACCAAGAACGCTAATATAATACAGACACACGTTTGGCTGTTATAACACAAAACGTAAAATGTTCCAGGGATCCACTTCTGCATTTTGTTGCTGCTGTAGGCTTGTTACAGACTGGTTTTCAGAAACTGCACATTACCCTGTCCCTCTTCTTGTCTTTTATCCCTCATGACAGGCCAGTATTGCAGCTGGCAGGCAGAGCTCCACACAGAATGGCACTTCATCACAGCAAACTGGCTCTACTCAAGCTACAGTAAGTGCAGTCTGCAGTTCTATCACCTAAAAGCTTTTAAGGTTTAGATTTATGTCCAGTTTGATCACCTCAGACATAATATGATTTCAGCACCATGGAACTTTCACTGCTGTCTTTTGTTAGCCAATCACATTACTTTTGAAGAAATCTAATGTAGAGGTGCCTTTTTAGAGAAGCTGGTTGATCAAATAGTGTATGTTGAAACCATTTATACATGTAGGTCTATAAAATGCTAATGCTGTCATTTCATTTCCTCCCCCAAAGATAAACCTGACCACATCCCCAGCAGCAGCACAGTTGATTAGTCGGGCCCAGAACATAAGCTCCACCCCCACCAGTATCTCCCAGCAAGCTGTTCTGCTCGGCAGCCAGTCCGGAGCCACTCTCACGCCCAGCCAGGCCCAGATGTACCTACGGCAGCAGATGGTGAGAGCCTAGAGACGAGGAGCAGAGCCTCCGGCACATTTACACAAGCTTCAAACAGCTATTAACTAAACACACTCATAAACTACCTTAGAGGCTGTTTGTGGTTCTCTGTCACATTACAGATGTTACAGTAGTGCAGCCTATGAGCATAAAGTCTAAACGGTGAAGTGTGAAGAGAATACAAAAGACCTGCTTTGAAATAGCTAATTTCTCTACTTAAAGAGGAACGCTGTTTTTTTTTTTTACATTAGGCCCTTGATTTTACATTATCACATCATGTTCTACTCACTCATATTAGTTTTGTGGGCACGGATGACATCATACACACTCCGCTTTGTTTAAAAAAAAATCTAAATATAAAAAATATAACTACGGATGTGTGGGGGACAGTGATTCACCTACATGTTATGAATGCAGGCGTACCATAACAAATAAATTATGAACAGTTTAGTTTGTGCCTTCAACTCGTTGCCCAAAGGAAGACGTTACTTGGATATAACAAAACCGAATATCTTCAGAACAGCTTAATCCTTTGTGTTAAAAAGGCTGATGCTAAAAGAAACAACAAGTGTTAGTGGTCCATAGAGCATAGCCAGTCTTATTTCTCAGCTTGTTGGACTTATCTATGTCACTGCTAGCCCACCAGATGATTTTATTAAAAAAACGTGATAGACCGAAAGGGAAATAAAAGGTTGTATTAACTTTCATTTTTTCCCACTCAGTTGTTGTAGGTGTTAAAAGCAACAGAGAAATCAAAGAATATGATTCCATGCCTGGTTTTTCCAGATGACAACTAATGTATTACAGGAAGTATAGGATGACATCTTCCTAGTAAGCAAACAACAACCTTTCAGGGCCCCCCCGAAGTTTACTTGTTGTGATGGGCTGAATTAGATGCAAGTTAAAAAGATGCAAGTCTCTCTAAGACGGCCTGGCCAAAGTCGTTCATCGAGGGACGCTGTCCTGCAGGTTTTAGGTTTTCTTGCTTCAGTACAGCTGACTCATTGATGGCTCATTAACAGGCTTTTGCTAAACTGCTATCACCAGAATCAGCTGTGCTGAAGCAGGGAAACCTCTAAAGCCCTTGTCACACCTTGACGATTTAGACCAGCGTATGCCTGACGTAAGAAAAGTCTGGCAAAAACGCTGGCTTATGTTGGATAAGTTATAGGTACGTTTTGTATAACTTATTAGCACACTGAAACACGCTGGCACATACTGGCAAACGTCAACATACGTTGAGTATGTCGAGAAATTTTGAGTATGCTCAAAATTTCCAGAGGTATGCCAGCATATCCCATACATGGGGCATAAGTTGCAGGTTAGTTATCTGATCGTTGAGATACTTTAAGTCTAAGTTACCGTTTAATGGCGTAATAGTAGAGTTATTCTTATTTATATTTATTTATTTTTATTTTTTGGGTGGGCGGTAAATGGAAGTCTGGTTAATACCGCGATCAAAGACCTCTTTTTATGCATGTCTGGAGGCAATGTAGGATCCTACATCGCTGCTCTGAACAGGTCCTCTGGACTCTGTGGTGCACAAACAGGCAGTAAGAGGCGGAATATGTTTGAATCACAGTCTCCTGATTTGGCTGAAGGCGATGATGATGATACAGTAGAAGCATCCTGATCTTCACTGACCACACATCTTGGTTCTACTGGAGTTTTTCAGGAAAGCTGGGCAGTAAAAATGGACCCCTAATTACGGTAACATAAATGGAAAATACATCTGATAGAAATGTTGATCTTCTCACCTCTGATCCAAACAGCCTGGCATTCTGATGGATGCAGACAGGAAAGAATTGAACCTCTCAGCAGCTCCTTGCTAAGCTAAGCTAGTGGCAGGGCAGACCTATTTTTAAAGGTTACATTTAAACAGGGTTTCAATTTAAATTCTCTTGCTTTCCCCAGATCATTATTCGTTTTTTGTTCATCCTTTTTGAAATGAGAACAAATATTGACTGATTAAAAAGCTTATATCATGATATATCATATTTCTCAGGCACAGCTCTACTTGTTAGTAGGTGTTCATAGCCGTTGACTATAAGTGGAAAAAAAAAAAACAGCAGAAATTGTTTCCACTAAACTGCATCAGAACCCTGTTTGATAGACTAATTTGTTGAAATATTTTTCAATCAGAAAAAGGAGGAATACATTTTATTAAAAAGAATAATCGTCAAAGAATGTAACAAAGAAAAATGCAACAGGCTTTTATATTAAAGGAGTTCTTTAGTCAGACCTCCTAGGTTTTATTTCCGAGGCAACCAGGGTCCCTATTACCAGAGCTGCACACTTGGTTCACTTTTTTTTTTGCTCTGCCTTTTTCCTGTCTGAATGTGTTCATAATTAAAGAGAATTATACTTTTGAAAGTTGAATTCAGATTTTTTTTTTATTTTTATCTTTTTTGCTCCAGGCTCAGCAGAGTAACCTGGTGCAGGTGGCCAGGAGTCTGGGCCGGGCCGTTCCTTTGCCCCAGCAGCTCATCTTCACCCCAGCTGCCACAGTGACGGCTGTCCAGTCTGAGAGTGCCACACAAGCCTCCTCACAGGTAGGCTGAGCTTACAAACTATGCTATCCAGTCTAATTTATATTAGTAGATATGGTTAAGAAAGGAAATCAACTCTATTTTTTTAAGTTTAATAGTTTAAAAGATAAAAACCAATTGCTCACATTTCTAAAATAGTCACTGTATATCTGTCATTAGATTTCTTTGGCAGTCTCTAACATGTATCTTCTTATAACAGTTCTTAAAAAGCATTAAACTACAGCCAAAACTTGCTCACTGTCTATGCTTTGTCTTAAGAACCAGGTTCAGAATTTGGCTATTCGTGGCCAGCAGGGGGCGACCACATCCTCCTCTCAGACTCAGACCCTTCCTCTCAGCCTGAAGCAGAGCCCAGTACCTATTCAACCAGCTTCACTTGTGAAGAATCCCAGCCAAGGGACCCAGACCTCCTTAGCTGGGAAGTCCAGTCCCTCTGAGATTCCCTTAGATGGAGGAAAGAAAGGAGACGGTCCCGCCGTCTCAGAAGTTCGAGCCATAAATATGAGCCGCAGCATCACAGCTGTGAATGCTCAGCCTCTTATCGCACCTGGTAAGTGGAGGCTCTTTGTGATTCATGGTTTGAAAATAGGATATTTTTTTTCTGTTTTTGTATCCATGTCTAATTTGATAACCACCTAAAGAATAAAAGAATCTTGTCTTTACCTATTATTTATTTTCTCTTTTTAAAAAAAAAAACTTAACTTATTATTGAAAGTTTTCCTTTAGTTGCAAGTTAAACTGATTTGCCTTCCAGCTGCTTAATGCTTCTAATTTAACCCTAAAATACACTGCTGTGGTTACAGATCCATTTATTTACTGGGTTTTGCTCAAACGCATCTAATTAACCAAAGGTTAAAGCCAGAGTATACCATTTCTTTTAAGACACTGTATACATTAAATTAAATTCAGTTATTTTTACCAGAATTATTCTTTGAGGGTTTTTTTGATATTCTATAGTTGATTAGTGACCAGGTCTTTGGACATGGTGAACTGTAATGTAAACTGAAGGCTGTAAATATTTAGCATCATTTTGGTCTGCCTTACTGAAACCAGAGTGCATGTTTTCTCTTTTTGGTTAGTGATGGAAGTGGGAGTCGGATTATCTCAGCCTGTCGGTGCACAACTGCATGTTGCTTTGTTTCAGTAATGGATTCGCGCGAAATGAAAGGGAGGATGGAAGCTGAAAATCTGGCTGCATGCTGTCTGGTAAAAGAAATGAACTTGGGTTGCCATGGCAGCAGGCCACCGGGGACAGGTGTGCACATGAGATGCTGTGGAGTTAATATAGTGAACAGGCGCAGAGGAAGCTGTAGGGATGGTAGATTGTTCTTAGATCTGGCTAAACCTTGGTTTTTGACTCATCTGTGATGGAGTCACTGAGGGCTGGTATTTAAGATTACAAAAGGGTTTTCTATAGTGTATTAAAAACCCTTAATGCTACATTTTGCATGCCCATTAAACTACATTAACTATATTTTAAGCTGCATTAAAAAATGCAGTTTATTGTATAGAGATGTTTCAAGTACAAATTTACTACAATTTCACAGGAGAATTACATTGTTACAAAATATAGCATCATTTTCAAGGCTCAGAGCATGTGAACGGAGCGGAGCGCCGTGCAAATCCTGCTCCCCGCTCAGGAGGATGTTCGCTCATTCGCTCTGCCGCTCAAAGTTGTGCCAGGATGCTCCGCTCAAAATCTGCTCCACACTCACCTTCATTTTCCTACCGCTCCAGCGAAATCGCTGCATGCTCGCTCAAACTTTTAGAATGCATTTTCTGACATTTTTTCTTCATGTTATTATGCCACTGCCCTGCGACACACGGCGTTTGATTTAAAGATGCGACCGATACATGTATATTGTCTTATTAACTGGCTGTTAAATTATCCCACTGTTTCCCAGCTGTGAATGTAACACCTCGCTCCATTCATGTTGATGTTAATTATTAATTTGTTTTACTAGACTACCTTAAAAATTGTCACTTTGCATCCCACTGCAAATGAGATAATGGTGTATAATGCATGTATGCGATCCATTTTCAAAAACGTGCTTACCACAACGATCACTGTATGTAAACCCACTCTTTATTGTTAAGTATAGTTAATGTATGTTTTTATGATATTTTATCACACAATATGCCATCCTCGTCTTGGAGATTCCGTGGCAAAGTTTAAACATACCGGTAGACTAAATCAGATTATAGGCACAGACTACAGCATAGGCATTGGCCTAGGTTTTAATTCAAAAAGGAATCTAAATAAAATCGGAGCGAACTGGGCGGAGCTAAATCCTCGCTCTTGTCTTTCCATTGAAAACTGCTCTGCACTCCACCTTATTTCTTCTGCTCCGTTCCGCTTACATGCTCGGATCAGGATGCATCTTTTAACAAGCTTACACTGCTAAATAACTAGAAGACTAATCGCTCTTAACTCACCAAAAAACAGAAGGATTTATATTTTGACCTGTCTGGAGGGGATCAAAATGTAGCATGATGATCCGTCTTATGCAGGACCTCAAGCAGCCATTACATTTTACACCAAGTTACTTTAAGTCTTTCTTTTGTAGTTCACTGCTGCTCATGTGGATGGATGCAGCTGTATTTTCAACTAATGCTTAAATGGAAAAAAACTTAAAATGTTATGAAAATGCATCAACTGATCAAAATTGAAATTGATAGTTCATCTTCTTGACCGAGGGTAAAAAAAACAGGAGAAAAGAAGTTTGAGAATCAGAGACGATCTTTCTCTACAAACCTCCTCTTGATGACACGTTCTTTTTTTCCCTTTTAATTAGAATTTAGTTCGATTTCTTCATAAAATCAGTCGACAGCAAATGTTGTTTGAAGTCTAAGGCTGCACAATGCATATTAAATATATCGTGAATGCACTAGTATCAGAGTGCAATATTCATTAAGGCCAGGGAAGGCACGTTTTATTGTATAGTACATTTTAATGTACAGTGGTGCAATATAATTCATAGTGTTTACATGCATGATAAAGAAAAGTACATTTTAATGACATAAAGGTAACACAAATAATTAAAAAGGTTAATTGTGCAAATGGATGGAGCGCTGTAAATGTTGGATATCATATTCCATGTGTTATGAACTAGTATTTTATAAGCTAATATGATACTTACCCAGTTGGACAGCAGCAGATGCTCACGCTGGACACAAATAACATTGCTCAAATGCTAAAGGTCACAGAGTTTAGATTGTACAGATTAGAAACGGGAAAGAAGAAAATAGAGTTGTGCTCATGAGTCAGAGATGGGGGATCTAGAGTCAACAAGTCATCTCTATGTCATGTATTAGTTTTTTGCTCAGCGACTGAAACACAAGTTAATTCACTCTGCAGATTGAACTCAACTGGTTCAGTTGCTGGTTCCCCCATCTCTGTCATAAGTTTACATATTGTCATTTTGTATAAACTCTGTGTATACAAAATGACAAAAGTCTAATATAAAAGAAATGCATTTCTTATACGAATAAATATAAACGTCACCCAGTCCAGTCCCACAGGTAGAACCAGGTGGCTCCTGTTTTAGGTTACATATCATTGATATGGAATAAATCACAAGAAAATGGAAACCAATATCCTCTAATGGCCAATAGTGAAGTGAGAATCAGCCACATGTAGCTGAAGTTTTTCTTGTCTTTATTTATTTGCTTTTGCTTCAATTAGTTATATATAAGTGCATCATATTAAAATGTTATGGATTATGTTACATTTAAATGAGCTAGACTGTGGAGTTTAATATAAGATTTAAGATGGATTTTACCAGAAAGGTGTGGCTTTTGCTACAATGGCTCATTTGAGTTCAGTCCTGCAACCAGCTAAATTGGACATCAGAGATTGTAGGATTCCTCTTTCAGCCACCCAGCTGACCTTTTTTTTCTTTTTTTTCTTGGTATGCAGCAGCATGTGTTTGAGAGGTAGTCTGCTGAACCACTCTTTTAAACAAAATTAAATCTGCATCATTCTGGGATTAATACACCTAGTATGATGTGAGAGAAAGAGTGGCCAGAAATAAGTTTGGTTGTATGCAACATAAGATATTTTTTAAAACTTCTGCATACAGATACTTGCAGTGCTAATGTTACTTATTTCAGCCATACTTGTGGTTTAACACTTCAACAATCAGCCTTCTGGGAAAAGCTTTCACAGAATTTCCAATATACTCATTACTCAGTGTGCCTTTGTCACTTGAGGAATTTGGGGTGGCAAACAAAATGTTATGGATGTCTTTTCCATATCTTTAAGTGTCTGTCATTGTCTTGTTCAGAAAGAGCAAAGAACATTATAAAACTCCAGCAGGGAACCCCCAGCAGTGCATTTCTAGCACATCATGTTTTGGCTGAGTTGAAGGAATCAGTATCTGTAGTCAGCATTGATCTATATGTACAAGAAGAATGTGGAAGAAAAAAAACTTTGTAACATCATAGCCATTAAGTATTTACAGACATATCATTGTTACAGCTTAGAAGACGTACGTAATTTGTTCATAAAAGTTCCTCCCTTGTGAGAAATACCTTCCCACTGATCTAACACTGATCTAATTTATGCTTCAGCCTATAAAGAAAAAAGTGTATATAAGGTTTGATGTGACAACTGTTCCCTGATAAAACATCTGATTATCAGAACATTGTGCAGTAAGCCAACATATTGCACAGCCTGCTGTAATGTTAGTAGGTTGAAATGTCTCAGATGAAAGTAAGCCAAAGTGGCAGCCAACCAGAATGTGGAAATTCAGGGATTTTCCAGGGCCTGCAGTGCTACAAACACTGAAAGGAATGTATACTGTCCTCAGTTTCCGGACATTGCGCAACTATTCACAGTTGTAGGTCTAATGAAATATTCCTTTGGGGGAGTTGGGCTCAGTGTGCCGTAATGCAGATTGTATGATTTGCATGTGCGTTGGCGTGTGGAAGAGGGCGGCATCATTACAGACATTCATCCCAAAGTTTTCAAGGGAAGAAGGCTTTTACATCTGTTTCTTGACTCTCTTCTCCTCTGAGATGCTTCTGCTGTTCCTCATTAGAGGTTTTAGAGAGTTGTCAGAATTTATTGGGAGGGCAGATTACATCCACCAGGTACTGATTCAGAAATCCTGCTTTTTTTCTCACAGTGACTGAGAATTTAATGAGAAGGTTGGTGTCTGTTTGATTTCAGGACTGTTCTTGCACTGTTTTGACCAAAGTGTAGCAGCCACTTGTCGTTTAACCCTATGCCATGGACATGGTGTTATTTGGACTTGTATGATCCACATCAAGGACACAACATACAAAAGACTGGAAGCAGCTCATAAAAATAAATTGGACAGAGGCTGAGACATTTATGTAGCCCCATTTGATCCTTTTTTTGCCTCCATATCTTAAGTGTTCTCCCTGATAATATTGTGCTTTATGAAAGTAGTTGCCGTATATTTTGTCATGTAAAACCACACGTTTTAGAATGCGTTTAGACATTTTATGATGAGCACCAGTGCAGCCATGTACCCCATTTACACTACCATAAAAAAACCATGCGAGACCGGTCCGAGCGCTGATAACAAGAGCGCATGAGAAGAACGCGTCCTCTCCGTCTGGCTGCACATCCCGATTCACACTCCATTCCAGATCGTCACTAGGAGGCGAGGAGTCGAGGAACCAAGATAGCATGATGTGTAAACGGTCGTCAGAACCAAGCTCAGCCTGGTTAACTGATCCGAGCTCGGACCGGTCTTGGCATGGATCAGTTTTTCAAGGGCAGTGTAAATGGGGTAATGTATTCAGCTCCCTCTGTCCTTATATCCCCCTGAAAATACAGTGCAAGCATTCACCTGCTGTTCTGCAAAGTTCTCAGAGGTTTATTTGAAAACATTAAACAAAATCGCACAATCGAAGACTAAGGAAGACGGCAGACAGGTCAGAAATATGCTTGATCTATCATCTGAAAATCAAATGGATATTGCACGGCTACAAACCTACCAGTATGTAGCACTTCGTCTAAATTCACAGGATCAGCAAGGAGGTCATTAATCAAAGAAGCAACTAAGAGGCCTTTCTGGAAACTACTAGCTTCCACTTCATAGCTTTGGCTTAACCTCTCAAAACCCACCGTTTTAAAGCGTTTACAAATAATAACTCAGAATGCATGAACATTACACTGGCAAAATGTTTACCAATATAGACATTTTGACATCAGTAGATTCTCCAGTATTCAGCCACCTAGTTCATTTTACGGACATAGTGAGCACCAAAGCACAATTATAACTGCATGTCGAAATGTAGCATGACAAAACAGCCACAACAAGCAAGTATGTCTTTATTACTGCTGTACAAAAATAGACTTATTATTTTGAAGAATAAAAAAACAGCTTTGAGTCATGTTTGAGCTGATGCAGCTTGGGTGTTTTACTCACCCAATTTGCATGTATATATTCAGAAACCAGAAGGTGTTAGCTTTCAATTAACGTATCACACATGTAATTCGCGCTTAAAGTTCCTCAGTTATTTGCTTTTCTATTTGGGTATGCAAAATAGGCGAATTTCCCAGAAATGAGGTGGATATTAAGAGGTTAAGTAGAATGAAGGGAGAAATCCAAAGTTGCGTTCCATTTGGCTGAGCTTGGCCCACTTGGACTTTTGGCATTATACATAATATGTGGATGACTGAGAAGCTTGCACTGATTTGAAGGTTGATTCTGTTAAATGCTTGAAAATGCTGGAAGAAATCATGTTGGTGGCTGAAAAAGACTGTGTAGAGGTTCTGCAAGCATTTTAATGGAATGGTTAGATGGGGTTTGTCCAAGTCTAGTCTAGAGGGACGATGCCCTGCAGGTTTCAGATGTTTGTCTTCTTTAACACACCTGGTTAAGAAGGTAACGGTTGAGTAAAAACCTGTTAATCAGCCATAAATGGTAATCAGTTGCGCTTACATGGGTAAAAATCAAGCCTTTTGGCTATTGGCTCTTGAGGACGGACTTAAGACACTCCTGGTTCAGATCAAAACATAGCTGTTTTAATGGCCCAGTCAATGTGCAGACCTATAAGACGACTACAGATTTGTGCTACACTGCAGAAATGATCTAGAAATAAGTCAGAACTTCTTAAATAAAATAAATTTACTCTTATGTTGAAGTAAGAATAAATAAGTTCATTTGACAAAGGAATTGGGTTTTTTTTTTACTCTTGAAATAAGATAATTAGATAATGTGCACTTGAAATAAGACAACACAATTGTTTTTTTTCTTATATTAAAAGTAAATTGTCTTTGACCATTGGCAACGTGTCTCACCTCAATTTAAAGGAGAAGTTCGGTTTTTTACACTTTAAGCCCATTTTCTGTAGTGTCCAGGATGAAATCGAATGATCGACACCAAAAGTTTGA